TTCTACTCTTTCCTCAAGGTCTGTTCTGAAATGTTCTGAGAACCTCACACCAGATGTGTCCTCACCCTCCTTTCTGAATTTGTAGCATTTCATTTTCTTTTCCTTGTTGTTGTTGTTGTTATGTGCCGTCAAGTCACTTGCAACTCATAGCAACCCTATGTACAACAGCCCTAAACTCTGCTCTGTTCTGTGCCAATCGCACTGTCTCTGACACTCCCATCCCGATTACCCCAGTCACTGAATCAATCCACCTCATAGAGGGCCTTACTCTCCTGCGCTGTCCCTCCACCCTCCCAAACATGATGTCCCTCTCCAAGACCGGTCCCTCCTCACAACATGTCCAAAGTATGTCAGACAAAGCCCCAGAATCCTTGCCTCCAAGGAGTAACCCAGTTTAACCCTCTCCAGAATGAATCTGTTTTCTTGGCAGTCCATGGTACCCTCAATACTCTTCTCCAGCACCACAGCTCAAAGGTATCAATTCTCCTTCTAGCCTCCCTAGTCATTGTCCAACTCTCTGATGCATAAAAAAACCACAACCCATTGCCATTGGGCTGATCCCATGTGTCACAGGTTAGAACTGCTCCCTAGGGAGTTTCCTGGCTATAATATTTATGGAAACGGATCTCCATATCCATGCCTTTCTTTTGTGGCATTGCTGGGTGAGTCTCAACCTCCAAATTTTAGACTTAATGATCAAGTGCAAACTGTTAATAGCCCCCATCTCCTCGAACCGAGGACTTCTTATGGTACTTATAATGTCTTTGGGTCTCAGTTTCTTCATCATAAAGTAAAGAGAATCCTCATATCCTAATCATAAGGTTGCGTGACTATTCAGAATAGTGCTTGACATCTTATGTTCCACACATGCAAAGTGAGTGCTTTCCCCATGTGGTATTCATAACTATGACACATCTACATAGGTTTCCAAGCACTATCTTAGACTCAGGGCTTTAGCTTGGCACGTTTGTCGGAACAACTGAAAATTGTCAAAGATGTAGCTTCTTAGGACTGAGCAGGTTGAGGAGGGCACTGTTTTGTTTTGCTTGTTTAGCTTCTGCAGGAGTTTTATCTTCCTCTTTGAGGAAGCCAACTTATTTCATTTTTGCATTTCTAAAAATTGTAACTGAAGTAAAAATTTACAAAGAAAATTATTCATTTCTTATTGTGATTCAGGTGCAAATTGGGGTTTTTTTTATTTAACCATTCACACACATTCCGTTGTATGACATTAATTACTATACTAAAAAATGAAACTGTACTCATTCCACTTCCTCCCTATTATTCTCATTTCCACTAATCCTTCTGTTCCACCCCTTCCTGCCTTCCGGGCTTTATTACTGGGCAGATACTCCCTTTTTGATCCGAATGTGGTTGATATTTTAGGAGACGAACAAAAGCCTTACTGGTGTTATTGACCGCTTTATAGGCCTGATGTTTGGTTGAAAGGCCCAGAAGGGTGACTGGGGGCTCTTGGAGGTTCCACCAGTCTCTACTATCCCAATAATCCTGGACATTTTCATTTTATAAATTTTTGTTTCCCATTTCTTCCCTCCACCCCCCAAATAGGTATGGAGAAAGGATACAGCCCTGATGCATGCCTATCTTTTTAATTTTTTAATCTAAAATAAAATTTTTATTTTATACTGGTTTATTTAACAGTTTGTATACATTGTTTTTCACACCAGATCTTTCCCATTTCCTTTACTGATGCCTCCTTCCACTCATCAGATTGTATGACCAAATAACCACCCCCCACCTCCCGCCATCCTCACCCCTCGGCTTCCACCCTCCCTCCCTTTGCTCCTCATACACATTCTGCTATAATGGTCTTCTACTATAGTTGTCCCTATATGAGACTGAGTTCACTCAGCATAATGCTTCCCAGTCCCTCTCAAGTTAGGTAGTAATTTACAAAATCATTGTCCTGTGTGCTGTGTAGTATTCCATCATGTGAATATATCATAATTTCTCAATTCATTTGATTGTGGTTGGACATCTGGGCTCTTTCCCTGGTCTTGTGGTAGTGAATAACGCTGCTGTAAACATTGGTGCAGAGGTCTCCGTTTGTGCCTCAGTTCTCATTCTCTTGGAGTTTATTCCAAGCCATGGAATAGCTGGTCATATGGAATATCTGTGTTCAGCTTTCTCAGGAAATGTCAACCTGCCTTCCATGTTTCCCATTTCTTACCCAACTTGTCCAGGAATTTCTAGAGTGATGTACCCTCTAGTTCTCATCTCAGGGTCATGGAAGCTGAAGCTATCTTGTTCCATGCCTCTTTGCTTTTCTTCCCTCTTCTTTGTTCCAGACAGAGAGAGACATTAGATGGCTGGCTGCAAGCTTTTAAGAACCTTGTCATTACTCATCAAAGTAGGATGTAGAACATTGTCTTTGTGGATTATTTTAAAATGCACAAAGGAAACAAGTCTGTTTCCTCAGAGAGGCAGAACTGCAGAAGTTAAATAAGCAAACAAAATAGTGACCTCCTCAACCCACAGAGTCCTAAGAAGCTGCACCTTCGACAGTATCCAGCTGCTCCAACAGACATGTACAAAGTCCTGAGTATAAGACATGGTGTGGAAACGTGTGTGTGTGTGTGTGTGTGTGTGATGTGAGTTAGGACTTTCACATGGGTACGTTCTCAGTTTATACATGTGGCAAGTCAAATAAGCAGACAAACACTGTTCTAAGTGCTTGCACAACCTTATAGCACGGCTACCAGAATTTTCCTCAGAGTACACAAAGAAAGAACTATGTATCATTGACCTTGATGCCCTCAAAGACCATGGTACTGAGGCCCTAGGACCAGCGACTCATTCCCTTTGGATGAATGGTTATGATTAAGAGGTTTGTTGTTGTTGTTGTTGAGTACCATCGAGTCGGAACGGACCCGTAGCTGACCCTCCAGTGGGTTTTCAAGGCTGTTGATCCCACAGAAGGAGATTGCATATCCTTCCTCAGAGCAGCTGGTGGATTTGAACTATGTGCCTTCGGGATTGCAGTACAGTTTCTTACCACTAGGCCACCAGAGCTCCCTGATTAAGAAGTTTACATAACCTTTATCTGCAGTTAGTGCTACTATATATATGAATATATTTACAGCATATACTAATATGCGGGAGAAGGGTAGGCAGTCTCCTCCCGTGTGATTAACTGCTTCTGAAAACCCACCAGAGGGTCAGCTGTGGGTCAGTTCTGACTCAACAGTACACAACAACAACAATACACTAATATGAATGAATGACTATCAGACAGGTATTCTTTTCCACCAGAGACACCTTAGAAGGCCAGAGTTATCAAAGCAAAGTCTGTCCCACTCCTTGTCCAGGAGACGTGGTGCTGGGGAGGCTGTTCAGGAAGCAGTGCTCAGGAAGCAGCAGTAATTAAGGTTCTCCTCCAAAGATAATTGGGCCTAGAGAAGATGAACAGGTCTGTTTATATTTAATATGGTGTTCACATTACTAACTGCAAATACTATCTTAAAGATTCCAGAGTTTTCCAGAACTTCCATTCATGCAGGGAGATTTGCACAATCAGTCCTCTTCCTAATGGGTGAGGCAGCAGTAGCCTTGAACCCTGGGAACGTTTCTCTGTGACCTGGCATCTTGGAATTTTCTGAAGTGACTGCCAGAGGTTGGCTGTCCCTGCTCTTCTCGTCTAATCCAGACTTAGTTGTTTGACCTCACCTCTTTCCAAGTCCAGTGGACAGAAGAGAGGCTGGCCAGAGGCCAGTCATGACTTTGCCTCACTCAGGAACAGAGGAGCCTGGGCCTTCCTACCACGGGTCCCAGCAGTAGGAAAATATCCAGCCTTCTTTCCAGGCTGGGAGGATCCCCTGCCCTTGTGCCAAGGAGCAGCCCTGCCCCGCAAACAGGAAGCGCTCTCCCCCACAGACACAGTTCTGATGGCTAACACATATCTCAGCAACGTTGCCCTCACAGGAAACTGGTCAGAGCTGCTCAGGCATTTCCTCCTCCACCATCTGCCATCCGGACAGAGGCTAGAGTCTTAGCTTCGGTTCCTTTCCTGTGCAGGGGAGGCCACTGTGATTGGAGACTGCTTTGAATAAAGTCTGGGAGTAAACTGTGAGAACGGCGTGGAGGGGGGTTGTTCACAGCCACAACTTCCAGTTCATACCTGTGCTGAGACTGGGTTGTTTCAGAATGATTTGAGTTTATCTTCTGCACCCGAGTTCCTGTGTCTTTTGTACCACTCAGCAGCCTAGGGAAAGGTCTTTAAGCCTCATTGTAAAACTGAGACTCAAGGGTTAGGTGAACTGCCACTTCAATGCATTAGGGCAATTATCACGCTGGCTGCTAACTGAAAGATTGGAGGTTCAGGCCCACCTCAAGGTGCCTTGGAAGATAGTCCTGGTTTTCAGCCACTGAGAACTGTAGAGAGCACAGTTGTGCTGGGGCACACACAGTGTCTCCATGAATCTGAACTGACCCAACTGCACCTGGTTTGGAAGTAAGAAGGAAGGGACTGAGGGCCTCACTAAGAATGCAAAACCGCATGTATGCCTGTCACCCTCCTGTCTTCTTTTCCTCCAGCAGTCAGGCTACGGGAAACCTTGAAGGAAAGGATTTTCCTCTTAGTTATCCTTGTGCATACATGTTTTCTTTTGCTGGTTTTTTATTTTGCATTTAGGGTAAATAGCAGATGTGTACATGAGCAATCTCTAAATAAGATGAGGTTGGCCCAGCAGGTTCTCTGGCATCCTGGAGGGCCGCTCAAAAGCATGTCCGCTGTCCATCATAAGAGATGTGTTTTGGTACTTCCGTAATGTTGGCTTTTTTCCTTAAGTGGCTTTTCACATATATAGGCAGCAGTGTTTGTTTTCTTTTTCCAGTCAGACTTTCCAAGAAACAGTTTCTTCTAGTGGAGGGGCTAGCGGTGTGACTAGCTTTAATCAGAATTATCAGTGGGGATTCTGAATATAATTGAGAGGGTACTCGCAATGCCAGCTCCTGCTCACCACTCTACTTTGCCTTCCCAGGAGGACTTTAAGAAGGACAAAGGAGAGGATCTGATCCAAATACTGTGTGAAAAGGAGCAAGCCAAAGATGAGGCCAGGGAGTGCTCCGTGCTCCTGGCCCAGTCGGAGATAAAACCTCAGTGTCTGATGCTGATCTTGGCCAACAGATCGGGTAAGAAGCATGTCTCTCTGGAGAATCTGGAAGGAGTCAGGCTAAGGTGAGGGGAGGCAGAGGTTAGTGGAGAGGATCCTGGGCACAAATCAGACATCTCAGCTCCAGAGAGCAACAGTGCTGGGGAGAAGGGCTTGACCAAAACTGGAAGCTGTCCTTTTGGGATGGACCACTCTAGCCATGAGATCATCTTCTAGAACAGCGTGGCAAGGTGAAGCAGGAGGATCTTGTTCAGTTTCTAGATTTGATAACCCTTATTTCTAATTCTAGAGCTTCTCAGCAAGCTCCAGCTTATGAAAAAATACCAGTCTGGCCTCGAAAAGGTAAATTCCGTCAAATACAGCATCTCAAAGAGAAAGTGGACTCAGGGGTGCTCACTGGGGTGGGAAAGGAGGTGTCTTCTTCAGATCTACCCACCCTACCTCTCCTTACTCTTCTAAACACTTTTACCTGTTAGGTCAAACATTTTAAGATGTGTCTCGTTTAAGAGATGTCAGTCTTAAATGCTCCTCTTGCATTCATCCATTGTCTTGTCTCCTCCCGGGGTCTGGAATGGGCTGGCTTCCTCTTTCAGCACCCACCTTCCACAAGTGACATAGGTTGTCTGCTCTCTGTCCTCACCTCAAGCTGGGGATCCACAGATTTACTGAAGAAAGTGTGGGGAACCACCAGAGCTATTCTCGCAAGACCCTGATTGCTCTGGTGACCACGGGAATTCTGCTGGCCATCCTGGGCACTACTGGCTATTTCCTCATGAACCGCCGCAGCTGGAGCCCCACTGGAGAACGGCTGGTCAGTGCTGGGGTCCGGGGAAAAGGAGATGAGGACAGTAGGGGTCTTCTTGCGAGGTCCATGAATGTCATGCCAAGTGACAAAAATGCTACTCTGTGCCCTTATGCAGGGTTATTCATGTACATATACAGCCAACCCAAGGGCACTTAATATGTAGCAGGCTGAGGAGGGGAACCGATAGGGGCCAGCCCACCTGCTCAGGGTGGAAGGGCTCCTGTCTTTACTCGGCATCTTGCCTGGGATAGTTGAGCTGGGAACAAGCAGAACAGGCTGCTATATCCACCACATTAGCTGCAAGAGTACTAGATGCCCCTGGGCACTGCCTTGCTCACGAGGAAGAGGCCCAAGGAAGGGAATCCAGGTCTTGACGTTTTCTAGATGGGAGAGGACAAAGCTGAGCTCTTTCTCTGGGGGAGGGGAGGGCATTGTTCCATGCTGGGCTCTGCTTATTTGCCTGTGGGGCTGGCTGTGGCATGTCGGTGGCACGGTGTGGTGCCTCTCCTCTGTCCTTTCTCCTCCAGGAGCTGGAGCCCTGACCACTCTTCAGGAAGAAAGGAATCACCACACGCAGCTGCATCCTCTCCCTCCCTCCCCCTCTCCCACCCCACCCTGCCTAATTCTCTCCTGTTGGTCTCACCCCCCAACCATGCCTTCCCCCTGCACACTCAATAATGTTCCTTTATTTATACACTGTCTAGGGTGAAGACCCTTACTACACTGAGAGCGGTGGAGGCCAGGGCTATAGCTCAGGCCCTAGGGGCTCCCCTGAGGCCCAAGGAAAGGCCAGTGTGAACAGAGGGGCTCAGGAGAACGGGACCGGCCAGGCCACGTCCAGAAATGGCCATTCAGCAAGACAGCACGCAGTGGCTGATACCGAATTGTGACTTGGTTGTGGGGGATGAGGGCTGCCCCAGCCCTGTAGACATCCCTTGTGCCCTTCCCTTTCCCACTCCACATCCCCTTGGGACTTGGCACGGTGGCGGGCCTTCTGTCAGCCTTGGGGAGAGGCAGATAACTCCCCGCCCTTTGCAAGGTCCGCCCCTGAACCCATGCTCCAGTCTTATATGGGTGAAGACCTGATGGGAGAAAAGCCAAAGTCCAGCACACTCCCCGGGAGCTGTTCCCACAAACCCCTCCCCAGTCGGCCTTATCCCCTCATTACGGGAGCCCAGGGGAAGCCCAGCCTCTCATGAATGACAATTTCCTCCCTAGGAAGCACTGCCTTTTACTGTTTCTTCCTTATGTTTTCTTCTTCTGCTTTAGGGAAACCAGAGTAACCCTTTCCAACTGATCCCTTGTATAAATGAGCCAGAAAAATGAGTGGTCTACAACCTCTTCCCTTCTCCCTCCTCCAAGACACTGGTCTAGCAGCCAGCCTCCTTCCAGCCCTTCCCCTTCCACCCAGCCCTGTAACCTCCTTCCCTGCTGGTGTACAAAGGGCTCCCTCGGGAGTTCCACATTGAGAACAGGGTCCTGTGCCTGTGAGTCTGAATGAGTGGGGTACAGTGGACACAATCATGGCCATCTGGGGGAACAGACAACAGTGAGTTGTTGGCTTCAATCCAGAGCCACACAGGCCTCTTCCTAGTGTTCTTGTTCCATCCTCTGTGACCAAGTGGACGGGGCCTCGGGAGCCAGCCTCGGAGCAGAGCCTCTTGACCTGTGCTCTGCTGTCAAGAGGGCCTGGTTTATCCCTAACCTGACAGCCAGGCTGTCTCCTACCTGCTCAGACTCCTGGGTTAAAAGTGGCATCAGGACTCCAAGCCAATTCCTTTCCGCCTTTCCCTCCCACACCCCATCACAGCGCTGTATCCCTTGTGGTCTGGACCCTAGAACATTTCTAGGGGAACTTCCCCACAGCCACAGCCTGTGGAAGGGATCCAGGCCCTGGGGTTTTTTTGGGGGGGTTCCCCCCAGAGGAATGAGGAGGAATCTCTAGGTTCAATGACGGTTGGAAATAGTAACTTTCCAGAGGTGGAAGGATTGGGTGAAAAAAAAACATTTTTTAAAATAAAAAGTGTGTATATACTGTAATTTAAATGATGCCAGCATCTGTCACTTGGCTGTGCCCCAGGTGTACACTGGGCAGTGATGTGGGGGTAGCCATGGAGATGACCAGTTGAGAGGCTGTCTTGGGGACAGGGCCACCTCTAGGGTGCTGCCCTTTGGCTGTGTCTGCCATCACATTGCCTCCCCTCACTGCAGACTGTCTGGAGACACAGGGAAGCTGACATACCTGACTGCAGCACGGCCAGCATACATACTTCAGGATGGGGAGTGGCGGGCTGCAGGCCGCTTGGCCCGTCCCTTCTGTGTACCCTTCCGAGAAGGGGAATAGCCTCGCCCAGCTGCATGTCCAAAGTATGAAAGGCAAAGCCATGGAGGGGGATATTAGGGTAGGATCAGCACGGGAGATGAAGACCTCCAGCAAAATGGATTGACAGGGTGACTTCTGCGCTGGGCTCAAATGTGTCAGAGATGATGAGGATAGAACAGGATAGGTTGGCTGTTGACAGGGTCACTGTGAGTCATACTTGATGGCACCTAACGATAACTGAGAAGGGGTACATTTTGGCTGCTGCAGATAAAAATGCAAAACAAAAGAAAGCACTTACTCATTCTCTTATTATTAGAGTCTCCTACCTTCATCCTCAACTTAGAGCAGAAAGCCCCTGGTAGTGGGGACTTTGTGGGGTATCACAGCTCTAGAGATCTGCTCCAGGAGGGGCTGTTTTCCATTCTGAGCAAAAAGACCACAACCAAGCTGCAAAATCCTATCTGTAAGCGCCTACCTCCTCCACCGTCGTGTTCACACCTGGCCGTGGGATGTGGGGTCAAGAGGGCAGGCTGCTGGACACCATCACGTTCAGGAAACACTCCCAAGTGTGTAAACAGGGGCAGAGGCAGCCTGGGTCAAATAAAGGTTGAGTCTTCCATTCTTTATCTGACCAAAGCCAGGCCTTCCCCTTCACTGCTCCCCCACCCCATTTCCTTCTTTCTTTTATCCCACTTCTCTAAGACAAGGTTCCTCCCTGAGCTGATAGAGGCACGGAGTCTAGAGCACAGGGGTAGAGTAGGGATGGGAGTGGAGAGATGGAAGGTAATTGGGAAAGAGGACCTACAAGCTTCTGTCAGGTGACACATCTTGCTATAAGAATAAACAGATGAGGTTCTGCCCCAGTTATGCATGGCATGCACCAGGACTGGCAAATGCATTACAGGGTCCCCATTCCCAAGAAGAGTGGCAGAAAGAGTAAAGAAACTTGGTCATCAAAAAGTCTCCAGCTTAAAAAAAAAAGTCTCCAGCTTAAAAAAACAAAACAAAAAAGAGTCTCCAGCTTAAAAAAAAAAGTCTCCAGCTTCAAGCCTAACAAATAGAACAGTGTTGTGGTTTTTTTCCTTGTTGAGTATGATCAAGCCGGATCCGACTGGCACAGAAGGAGATTGTCCCTCCTTCTCCAGCAGAGCATCCGGCAGATTCGAACTCCACGCCATCGGGATTACAGCACAGCTTCTTGCCACTAGGCCACCAGAGGTCCCTCATAATAGTGTTTTTGCTTTCACCTGATTTTGCTAAAGTGTGTGGGGGCTTTAAGAGGAAGAGGAGCTGCTCCTGGAAACCACTTGTTCTGAAAGATCCGTTTGCTTTCAAGAACATACTCTACTTTTAGTACAACCATCCTGATGCAGCAATGGCGCCACCTCCTGGCCGTGCCGAGCTCCTACCACTCATCCTTTTAATTTTCTCCATGTTTCCACAGCTGCTCTACCATTAAACAGACTAGTCCAATTTACCTTACACGGAAAACTCCTTTAATTATACGAAGTCGCTGCTGGAGAGGACTTCAAATATGCATCCAATACAATCCATAGATAATTAAGTGAAGGATAAAGAAAGGCCCAAGGAGAGCAAATGACTTGCCCAGGGTACCTGGAATTCAGATGTCCCAAATCCAAAGCTTTTCACTCCATCAACGAGCTCCACTTCTCAGCTGCAGTCTTGAAGCTCCTCCACTTGACGTCATGAAGCTGGCGAGAAGAATGTCAGGATAGGTTTTCAGCTGCTTCTCTGAATATTTTAGTAAGGTGGGGTGTTCCAGACCTGGCCACCAAGCAGGTCCTAGGGCTGAGGGACACGGGAGAGACTAAAGATCCCAGGAGGCTAAAGGGTCACACAATTTGATGGCTGGAGGGAGGGTGTGTGTAAAGGAAAGAGGAAAGATCCAGTGTGGAAAAACAATATATGAGCTTTTAAAGTAAACCAGTATAAAATGAAAGTTTTTATTTTTTTAAATCCCAGGAGGCTGTAAGATGAGGCTCATTGTGTCCACAGCACAGAGAATGGACTCTGACTGTTGTTAGTTTCCATTAAGTCATCTATGACTCATAGCGACCCTATGAACAACAGATGTGAACCCTGCCCTGTCCTGCAATACGGTCACCACGTTTGATGTAGTTATGCCCATTGTTACAGTCGCCGTATCAGTCCATCTCATTTAGGCTCTTCCTCTCTTTCTCTGACCCTCCACCTTTCCCAAAAAGATGTCTTTTTCCAAGGGCTGACCCCTCCTGACCCTATACTCGAAGTATGTGAGACAAAGTTTCACCATCTCTGCCTCTGAGGAACACCGTGGTTGTACTTCCTCCAAGCCAGCCTTGTTCCTCGAAGCCAGCCTTGTTTGTTCTTTTGCCTGTCCATAGAATATTCAGGACTCTTCTCCAACACCAAAACTCAAAGGCATTGGTTCTTCTGTCATCCTTATTCAGTGTTCAACTATCAGATGCATAGGAATTAATTGGATAGGAAAATCCTGATTCTGGGGTACTGCATTGTCTACTTGACCTCTTCATATACCAGATTTTCACCAGAGTGAATAATTAGGAAGATCTGGACAAAAAGTCATCCCATCCCTTCTAGGCAGACAACCTTACATCTCCTCTTCACAAAAATACAAATGGTAAGCTGATCATTTCTGCAATGGGATGCTTGCTTCTGTTCTTAAAGCCTAAGGGATTCAGACTCGCCATTCAGTCATTCAACAAGTACTATTAAATGCCTACTGTATGTCATGCACCAGTCTAGAGGCTGGGGATAGGCAGTGAACCTTGTATGTTCTTTAACATCAATGAAGGGCTCATATTTTATATATGAAGGTAAAGCTCAGGGAAGTAACAGTTCAGTTCTTATTTCACCCGACTCTGGGGAAGGAGCAGGCTCTGTGTCACAGGCAGAGCAAGTGCAAAGAAAGCCTTATGCTGTAAACCCTGGCAAAAGGGAAAAGCTATGTATGAAGACGGCTAAGAAGACCATCGAGGTGCATCGTTGTGGGGGGAGGAGTGGGTGGAAGTGACGGGAGAAGAGTCTGATGAGAGACAGGCCAAGCCACCTTAGACCTTTTAGCCTCTTAGGGAGTCTGGATTCATAGTAATAGATAGGAAATCCAATGGAGGTGTTTAAACTAAGAAGTGATGAGACTGGAATTTCTGCTTTCAAAGCTGCTGCTGGCTCCTGAGGAGGAAACACTGCTACAGGGTTAAGAATGGAGAACAGGCAAGCAGGTGAATCTAGCGATGGTCGCAACAGAAACGATCATGGTGGGGAGGAGGTGATATGGTCAGAAATGGTGAGATGAAGTGGCATTCTAAAGATGCGTTGAAGGTGGAGTTAGCAGGATGGGTTCCCTCTAGTCCTTTATTCAGATGGCATTAACAATGACAATGACAGTGGCTAACATTTAATAAGCACTTACTGTCCAAAACTGAGACAGTGTGTAAAAGCTAAAGAATGGGTTTTACATAATATGCACAGACATACAATGTGACCTCAGAAAGGACACTGAGACTCAGGACACAGCAAGGGATTGTGCTGGATGCAAAGAGGCAG